TGAATTTTACCACTGAGCTATATCCTCCCCTCTAATCATGGATTTTAGTCTTTAGCATTTAGATGAATTGGAAGGCTTTCTTTGATTCAGAAAGCCCAGATCTGACCCATACAGACAGTCTCTATCTCCATCATTTCTAAATTCAAATGGTGTGTGAGAAGTGTGCTTTGGGGAAATGATCAGGAAAGATCTGACTTCTTCAAAGTCCAGGAGATGCCAAAGGGAGATCAGGACTAGAGGGCTGTATGATCCGGGGTGCCCAGACTCCTGCTCTCTCAGTATTACTTAAGTATCTGCTTTATGTCCATTGCCTTCACTCTATTAAAGCCCGAGGCACCGAGGTTTAGGGGGAAAATCAGGCCTTAGCACTGGGCCCAGCCTCTGCTGCTCTGACACTGAAATGCTGAAATATTTTTTAAAACAAACAGCTAGGCTTCAGCAAAATTATGACACAGGCAAAATGTGTATGTGTGGGTGTATGTGTGTGTGTGAGTGTGTATGTGTGGGAGGAGGAGGTTATCCACAATCTCACCCGGCCTCTCTAGGCCCTCTCCTTTTATTCCTGATCATTTCTTTCTTCCACCTCCCATAGGCATATATCTTGGATCATAGGAAGATGATCCTGAGGTCTTTTAATTAGCTATGATTAGCTAAAAATGTTAATTAGGAAGAAAACTATCTGTTAATACCTCAAGTGGTAATTAGACAATATGTATCAGGGTAGAGTTAGGAGAAACTTGTAAGCTTATCAAGGTCAGCCCTCATCTGAGTTTTACCAAGGGGGAATTCCATGGTCAAAGAGGCTAAGTGGCTTGTCCAAAGCCACACACAACTACTTATTGGGAAGTTATGTCTAGAATGCAAACCTCCAAGTTGGCTAGTCTAAGGCACTTCCTGCTTCACTGAACTGCCCATCACCTAATACACCTTCACCCCTTCATGTGCTCCTTCCCTCCTTGGGTGTTATTGTCTGGCCAGAGGGTCCTCCCAAGCCCCAAACCAATGCTCCATCCCACTTCACACCCTGATCATTTCCCTGGTGTGACACTTTGGCCAAAGCCAAAGACTGCAGACATTGTCAATCTCACAGGAGTCACAGTTCTGTGGCCTGCTGAGCTCCCCATTTGAAGCGAGACATGATATTCTTTGCTAACTTAGTAAAAAGGGCAATATTTCAAGATTACACCTGGCTGTTCCATGCCATCTTTTTCTCGGTTCATTACAACTGCTCCTGTCTTAATATAACCTTAGATGCTTACCTATTGCAATCCTGCAAATAAAAAATATTTTTAAGAGAAGCATTTGTTTTTAAATTAGATGCTATGAGGGATGTTTATATCAGATTATTAGAAGAAAATTATAGGCTTGGGAGATGGGAACTTTCATCCTTGGCCATCCGGACTTTTCCCCTTGTAATATTCTGCATTGCTCTAATCTCTGGCTCTCACTGAAAATGGTGAAACACAGAACTCAGAGATCACCTTGAAGGAGCTGAAAGGTTCCCAAATGCCAGCCCATTTAAAAATACAGATGTGCAGGCCCCACCCCAGAATCATAACTGAGTGCTGGAGACTTTGGAATCTGGACTTTCGAACAGGCCCTCAAGTGATTCTCTTGAATAGCCAGGTTTAGAAAACCCTGATCTAGACTACTGCCTCATTTTACAGATGAGAAAGTGGAGTGACAAGCTATGCAATGAAAAATTCTTAATTCTCAAAATGGAATTCTTTTCTCTTGCAGCTGGTTTGCAGGTAACATCTCCAGGTCACAATCTGAGCAGTTACTGAGACAAAAGGTAAGCAGTCTAATCTTTAAAATAGCCTCTAAGAATGTCTTTCTATTGTTGGGCCCGGAGGGTAACACACTCCTCGTGGAAACCTTAGTGCTAATTATATAGCCAAGACATCATAGTGTTCATTGTCCCGCCCACAGGTGACCCGGCACTTCATGTCTAACCACTTCCTCTCTTCCCACTACTGACTGCTCTATAATGAGCCACTTCAAAATTGAGCAGCTTGAAATAAGACTTATGATGCTCACGAGGCTGTGTTTAGCTGGTGGACTGACTAGGGGGTTGGGAGTAGCTGAGGTAGTCAACCAGGGTGCCAGATTTCTTCTCCACGTGGCCAGCATTGGTTTCCTCACAGAATGGTGATTTCAAGGCTGTGGTTGAAGAGGATAAGCCCCACAGCTAGGCACAAGCACTTACGGTGTCTCTGCCTTTGTCGTGTTTGCTAACGTCCCATTGGCCAAAGCAAAGCCCATTGCTCAGCCCAGAGTCAATGTAGGAGGGGACCACACAGAGTCTGGATATACAGAGAGCTGATTTATGGGGGCCTTCTGTACCTCATACTTCAACTCTGTCCCGAAAACCATTGGCACTTAAACCAGAGGGCAGCAGATGTAATAGGGAATAAATCTATCTGATTTTGTTAGTAATTGGTATGGAATTATCAACTGCAAACTCTTTTGACCTACAAAAACGGCACCTTGACATAGTTCAACCTAATAAAACACATCAGTTCTTTCTCTGAGGGGTACCAGAGAGAGTGTGACAACCACCATCTAACTCAACATTCTGTCACATACACAGTTGATTATCCATTCTTTCTAAATTTAGATCTGCTTAGAATTTGCATGTTCTGAAAGACAAGTTGAGCATAGAACCTGAACAGTGGATTTGTTCAGCATCTTTGGTTTTCTAAAACCTTCCAAGGGCGTGATATGGTGATATGTGGTTTTACATTTTATTTCTGAAAAATTAAAACATTAGACTTGCACAAATACGCAACAGAGAAAATTATCAGAGAGGGTTAAAAAGTAACCGGAGAGGAAGAGTTGAAGGACACAGGGGAGCTCTAGAAAGACACTGAGTGGGAGAAGGGAAAAAGCTAAACCATGGGTCCCTTCTGCACCAACTGTTGTATAATCTGCGCCGTCAGTGACGTTTAAAGCGGATCTGCACAGACACAGTAAACAACTCATGCTTACCAGGGGACGGGGGGTGGCGAGGGCTAAATTGATAGTTCAAGATGTGCAAATACTAACTGCTACAAATAAAATAGATTTTTTTAAAAAAAGAATTTCTTCTGTATAGCACAGGGAACTATATTCAGTATCTTGTAGTAACCTATAATGAAAAAGAATATGAAAAAAATATATGTATGTATATGTATGACTGAACTATTATGTTGTACACCGGAAATTGACACAACATTGTAAACTGACTATACGCCAATATAAAAAAATTAATAGAATAAAGTGGATCTAAAAGATCTACTTTCCTACTACCTACCGGGAAAAATAGTTTTCAAGAATAATGAAAATGTTTTCTGTTCCTTCCACACTTTCCTTCCTCTTCAGGGAAAAGAAGGAGCGTTTATGGTTAGAAATTCCAGCCAGGCGGGAATGTACACAGTGTCCCTATTTAGTAAGGCTATGGAGTAAGTATGATGTGGATTTCTTTCTTTTATCTTCTTACATCTGTTCTTTGAATATACTGGTCATCAAGTCACATTTTGGGATAAGACTCCATCTTTAAACTCTGGAATTTTGGATCAAAGTATTTCTATTGAATGCAACCATTTGTAGTTGCCTTTTCCCCTCTACTTTCCAGAGTCTGTTCTCCGTGCGGTCCTTTCCTCACCTGCCCCCAACCCAGGTGGCAGCAGCATGCCCAGGGCATGGCTCACCTCTGTGGACACTTGTTAAAAGAATCCTGCCTAATTCTCCCTTGATTCTCTCCTAAGCCTAGAAAGAGAGAAAAAATAGCAATGGAGCTTCTGCACTCTTGGCCCCAGCCACCTGCTGAGCTGAGAAACCTACCCCAGTGTCTGGATTTTAGTAAATCTTTCCAGTGGGAGCAGAGGGGTGAATCAGTGTAGCTGTCTGCCCTGGCTAGCTTCTTTCTAGGCTGCTGTCCTGTTGGTGTGGTTAAGAGTTCTGGTTTGAAATGGTATCTCTGGGTCCAAATCCTGACTCTGCGATTTCAAAACTTTGTGACATTAAGCAAGTTTCTTAACTTCTGCGCCTTAGCTTCCTCATTTGAAAAGGGGACATAGTGACAATTATGTTCTATGGATGAAGTGAGTTAATGCACAGATTGGATCAGAACAGTGCCTGGCACACAGTAAACACTTACTAAACTAACAGTAATTCCTATTATTGCTCTTGTTGTTGGGAAAAACGTACTCCTACTTGCCCCACTACCCCCACCCCAACACTTAGGTATATAAGGCCCCCACTGTCATCTCATGCAGGTCGTCATCACCAACGTTAGGATCCCCCTAGAGAGTTCTCCAAGCCGCTTTCCCATTGGTTGTTAGCCTTTTTCTTCCTTCTAAGCATCCTGCAAAGCAAACAGGAAAGCTGTTTTTATTTGCACCGTTTTACATATGAGAGGATTGAGATGCAAAGAGAGCTTACACAGACCCACCCCCAGACCTAATGAATGACCGACTTCAAGCCAGGCCTTCACCAGCCAAGATCATGTTCCTTCAACCAGATAGCCCTGTGTCTACACTGAAATCTCCCATGTTTTGGAATGAGAATCTGGTCCAATTTTGATTTGGACCACGTGGGGGAGAAATGTCTATGTGTGCAACCTTTTCTTAATGCTTCAACTGAATGACCTTAAATGATTGAATGGCCTTGCTGTTTTCTCCATGTGCCCTGCCCCGTGAAGCATAATGTATTTTTTAGATAATTAAGTGATGAAAAAGTTATTTTACTGGAGGAATTTTTTTTACAGAGTCCCTACCTCCAATTTGAAATAATAGCATGTACCATAAGCACGCATATGGTATTTCTGGCGCCAGAAGCCATGTCCCTGGTGCCCCTCACGTAGTAGGTTGCATACTTGGATGCTGATTAGAGCCAACCCAGTAAGAAGTGGGGCAAGACTTGGTTTACTGAATAGCAAAAGCTCTGTGACCCTCTGGCCCTCGTGTTTCAGCCAAACCTGATGTCAGAAGTCCTCTTAGTGCAGCTTCTTGACACCAGATTCATTTTTGAAGGTGACCAGGTAGAAAAATCAGCAAACAGAAGAGATACCAGATGAAAAGAATTCTAATCAATGACTACAGGAGCCTTTTTTAATGGGCTGGAGTGAACTTGATGCTGAGACCAGGAGCCAATCTGTCACAAGAAAGCACCCTTTCTCCTTTTCATAATTGTGATTTTAATAAGGCTGGCATTACAGCAACAATAATTTATTAAGTTTCTTATGTGCCAACATAGTGCAAATTGATATATACACAATCTCATCTGATCTTAAAACAACTGGATGAGGTGGCTAGCCAGCAATAGAACTGTACTCAAAGCCCAGTTCTTGAGCACTATGCCACATTCTAAAACCTAAGAGAGGCATATCAATCATTCCTTGTTAGCCTAAATCAATGTGCATCTATTCACCACTATTTTCTAAAAGTAGAGCAAAAGAAAAAAAAATGTTTTATGTAGAAGAGGTACAAGTTCACATGAGGAATTAAAGGATAGCCCCATCCATGCCACCCTGTATATTCCACTCCCAAAAGAGCCTCCCATCCACAGCCTCATGATGTTTGTCTCCCACATTTTAATCTCTATTATTATCCTAAAAGAGAATTGATGTTCAGAATAATGATCCTGAAAACTGCAAGGCTTTCAATCATCAAAGGAAGATGCCAGCGTTATACTTACTAAGGGAAGAATGGTACAGAAAGGTGGAATTTTATTATACATGAATTCCGTGTGCCCACAAAGGATACACTGAGTTCAGAGAGGAGCCCTCTTCCATAATTACAGATTGTCATGGATACCTCAGGAAAACACCAGACATCAAGACTGAGAAACCGTCTCTGACTCCCCTCTCCAAAATATGCAAATGCGCCTAAAATAATTATTTACCTATTACTTAATCAAGCTTCAATTGTTTCTTAAAAACATTCTAACATGCTTTCTTCCTTACTAGTGATAAAAAAGGAACTGTTAAACATTACCATGTGCACACAAATGCTGAGAACAAATTGTACCTGGCAGAAAACTACTGTTTTGAGTCCATTCCAAAGCTCATTCACTATCATCAACACAATTCAGCAGGTAACTTAGTTCAGTTTTTCTTTTATGGGTCCTTGCTGATAAATATCAATTTTCTTAGATATTACTGATCCTCCTCGTAATACTCTTAACTATATAGGGAACCATGAAAGTAGGGGGAAAACGCTCTCAAGCCTTATGCCTCCTGTGATTTTTAACCTACCTTTCCTGGAATATAACATTGTACAGTCTATAATGCCAGAAATAAAGAAGTTGAGTGAGTTCAGTGACAGAAGTAGAGATTCTCTTTATAAAAATATTTGCAGGTTTTTTCCTGCCTATAGAAGTAACTTGATTGCAAACTTGAAACGATATAGAAATGTGTATCATTAGAGAGATAGCCTCCATGGACAAGTTGGTATCTATTCTGACAGTGTTTTTTTCTATGTTGATACTAACACTTATTATTCATTACATATATACAAATTATATACATGTATGTATATACATTATATGTTTACAGATATGAGATCATTCTACATATACTACTTTTCAGCTTGTTTTCTTGACTCAGCACGTCTTGGAGGTCTTTCCATGCAAATGCATATAGCTCACTCTGGTCTGCTTAACAGATACATAGAATTCTACTGTAGAATTACTCCATAATTTATTCACCTTACCGTATATTGAGTAGCAGTTGGATCATATGCAGTATTTTCACAGAACAATAGATGTTTCAGCGCACAGTCATGCACACATAACTTTGTGCACCTGGATGAGTATTTCTGTAGCCAAATGCCCTAAAAGTGGAATTTGAGATAATAGCTAAGAACATTTAAAATTTAGACATTGTCAAATGCTTTTCAGGAATATATACCCCCACCAACAGCAACACTTCATCCTCACGGACACTGGGTACTATCATTCTTTTTAAATTTTGCCTAATTGACCGGTGACAATATAGAGAGAAGTCTCTTGTAATGGAAGTGTTAACTAATCTTCTTGTGGCAATCACTTTGCAGTGTATACATGTACCAAGTCACCACAGTTGTACATTTTAACTACATATATTGTATGTCAAGAACACCTCAATACACCTAAAAAATAAAGTTAAAAGAAAAAAATCCTCTCTAAATGTCTCTTCTAGACTAGAGCCACTTATAGGCAGTGACTGGATGAATTTCCAACACTGCATAAAAATAAGCTATAAGTTCACCATCAAACTTGTGCAACTCTACCTGACCTGATTACATGCCCAGAGGTGAATTGGCCTTACTCCTGGTGTTGCTTTTGGTTTTTATTTGTATTTTCCCATGGTTTCAATTTCTTTAATTGTTTCTTTTTAACCTGTAGCACCTCAAAAATACCCTTTGGAATAGGTACTGTATAAATAGTCATTTCCAAGTGGAATGATTCCACTCCAGGGGGTGCACAACAAACTCTACAGATGACTGGAAGAAAATATTAAAATGTTTATTTAGATTTGTTTTTAAAATCTCATTCTCTTGGGTTTTCTATTTGTGAATATATTTTATGATGCATATAATATATCATCACAGTAGCAACTGTGTATATACATATTCTGGAGGAGTGTGCTAATTTTTATTTTGCTGATTAAAGATGCAGGATTTAAAAGAAACCACTCATACAAAAACTAAATAAATATACAGAAAAAGGGAGAGAAACAAAACATGTGTGGTAGTTCCCAGGACTTAGAAAACATCACATGCTGAAAGAAAGGAACATATATTTTTTGAATGAGTTCTTTTGAGCCACTATCCATACTATGATTATTTTAACCCAGCTTTACCCTAACTCTGTGTAAACCACTGAAATGACAATTTAAGAATAAGTTCAATTTTTTAAAAAAATTCAAGTGGTTTACTTCTTATCTTGTACCCTTGTTTACTGTTTGGATTTTTTTTTTTTACCAAATGTTTGTGCTGTGTGTATATATACTTAAATATGGGACTGCAAAGAGAGAGAAAAATACCTGAATAGACACTTTCTCCAAAGAAGATATACAAATGACTAAAAGACACATGAAAAGATGCTCAAGATCGTAATTATCAGAGACATGCAAATCAAAACCACAACGAGGTATCACTTCACACTTGTCAGAATGGCTGTCATCAAAAAGTCTACAAATAACAAATGTTGGCAAGGATGTGGAGAAAAAGAAACTCTAGTAGACTGTTGGTCGGAGTGTAAATTGGTGCAGCCACTGTGGAAAACAGTATGGAGGTTCCTCAAAAAACTAAAAATAGAACTACACGTGACCCAGCAATTCTACTCCTGGGTACATGCCCAGAGAAAATTCCACTTCGAAAAGATCCATGTACCCCATGTTCATAGAAGCATTATTTACTATTGCCAAGATAGGGAAGCAACCTAAGTCTCCATCAAAAAATGAATGGATTAAGAAGATGTGGTATTATATACAATGGAATAGTACTCAGCAATTTAAAAAAATGATATTCCACCTTTTGCAACAAGTAGGTGGACCTAGAGGATATTATGCTTAGTGAAATTAGTCAGACAAAAAAAAGACAAATACTCTTCTATGTTTTCACTTACATGTGGAATCTAAAAAATAGAACAAATGAATGATTATAGCAAAACAGAAACATACAGATATGGAGAACAAACTAGTGGCTACCAGTGGGGATGGGAGGTGCAAGATAGGGGTAGGGGATTAAGAGATACAAACTACTATGTATAAAATAAATTAAAAAGACACCATGGGCAGATTTAAAGACAATTAAGCTATGGTCTCTGTCCTAGAAAGAATTCATCATCTAGACAGGGAGATAAATAAATAAATAAGCACAAGGATATACTGTACAGCACAGGGAAATACAGCCATCATTTGTAATAACTTTAAGTGGAGTATCATCTATACAACTGTTGCACTATTATGTTGTACACCTATAACTAATATAATATTGTTAATCAACTATACTTCAATTTAAAAAATAGTTAGTTGATGGCTAACCACGAATAAAATAATTTTTAAAAAGAGCAAAATAAAAAAGGGAAATTTTTAAAAGAAAAGATTCTACCAAGCAACTAACTTTGATGAGATTTTTTAAAGTCACATAAAATAGCTTTGCTCTTTTAATTTTTGCTTTCCATGGAACTGATTAGCCAAGTCAAGCAAAACAATATGACTGCAGGCTGAATTTGGTCAGAATGGATTCTCTCTCTGCATGGCAACATCCTGAACTCTGGGCTTTTTCAACTAGTCTAGAGAGAGCATGAGCAGAGGTGTGAACCGATGTGATGTAATGTGATGTGATATGACATGATCACATGATGACATGATGCTGATTCCATTGCAGGCATGATCACACGACTCCGCCACCCTGTGTCGACCAAGGCCAACAAGGTTCCCATGTCCGTGTCCTTGGGAAATGGTACGGACACTCCCTTGGGTTCTTAAACTCCATCTCCCATCATTTTTGGTTAAAATACATGTATATGGTTAATTTACTGAAAAAAGAGGGAAGAGAAGAAGGAGATCCCTGTTCAGATTGTGCCAGGGAGGGCTTCAGCGCTAATTTATTTATTCTTTTTCTTAAACAAACAAACAAACTAAAACCTTTTCTGTCCTCCCAGTCTAACTCTGTAGTTTCCCCAGCATTATCAATAAGATTGACCCAATCATCAGCCTCGAGAACCCCACTGCCTGTTCTCCTTCTTCTGGGATTCTGTGCCTGCTCGGGAAAGTCAGTTTGCAACCTTATGTATTTAGGATAATGACATCCATCCGGATCACAGTTTAGTTTGTTTCAAAAGAAACTGTAATAATATTTTACCAAGCTAAGAGCACTGAGCACATTTTGACAAAGACACCTCTGGTTAGCAAAGGGTTTTTACTCTAAGCTTTCTTGTCAACAACTGTAGCTCCTTCAGGACCAATATTGTTCTGGAGGCATTATCTTGTGGTCTAATAGGTCATAAGACTACATCACTAAGGGTTTTCTTTTAAGTGATCAACTTAAAATAAAAAGTCTTGCTGTTCTTCATACTGTCAACATTAAACTCTCATTGGAGAGGAAATCATATGGGAAGCTGTTAGCCCCCACGCCTTCGATTCTCATCCTGAAGACTGTCTGTCTTGCCTTAATAGGAATCTGGGAACTGAAAAGAGAAGAGATTACCCTGTTGAAGGAGCTGGGAAGTGGCCAGTTTGGAGTGGTCCATCTGGGCAAGTGGAAGGGGGAGTATGATGTTGCTGTTAAGATGATCAAGGAAGGTTCCATGTCAGAAGATGAATTCTTCCAGGAAGCCCAGACCATGATGTAAGTTTTGTCTGAGGATTGGCAGTTTAGCCCTCACCTTGGGAGGACATTCATGCTAACAGGCCTGTCCCTAACATTTGCCAGGCCTTGCTCAAGAGCACATATCAGAGATATATTTAGAAATTATAAATCAATTTAACAGAGTTACATACAATTGGTCCTATGTGCCTCCTTTGACAAGTATATCTTCACAACAACTTGAAAGGCCATATTCGAAATTAGAATTCTCAAGACTCTTTAGAGGAACCAGCCTCTGGTCCATGGCCTCCCCAAACTCCACTCCTCCCCTTTCTCTTCCCACTCCCAGCTCCATCCTGTACTGAACTCAGTGCCTATGTGCAGACATAGCATTCAGTACATCCAAGCTCCCTTCCTGTCTCCCACAAGCAACTATCCATTGGCTCATGAGCTTGGGTAGGAGTAGGCACACCAATAGCATGGCTCACTCTTGGGGGATGAAGAGTCTGCACAGGTCCCGGAAGAGGCCTCAGGACTACGTGGACAGGGGATTCCGGAGTCCTGGTACCCCAAGAGTAATAGAGAAAGGGAGGCATGGGTTCTGAGTGGACATGTCTCCTTGGCCCTCTGGCCGCTTTGCCTTGTGGGAAGGTGCACGGTGGAATGAGGAAGAGTGGGGTCCCGGAAAGCACACGTCCAGGGGCACAAGCCTCTAGCAGCCAGGATGAAGGCACTACTCAAAACTAATGCGCTACAGACAATGTCCCAAACAGTCTGGTAAAAATCCTTTTCTCACCCTACTCCTTTCCTCATCCGATAAATGAAGATACCCTTCCTCATGGGCCTCAGCCCCAACCACAGCCCTTAATTCTTGGCAATACATATGTTCTCTCTCTCTTTCTCTCATTGATACAAGTACAAAGAATTATCTTAATGATTCTACCTCTTATTGTCAAAATGGTGAATCAGACTTTGAAGGGCAATCAGCCATCCAGGTTTGCCTAGGAGTTTCCTGGTTTTAGCACTGAAAGTCCCCTGCCCCCAGGAAACCCCTCAGTCCCAGGCAAACGGGGACAGCGAGCTGGTCATCCTACTTTAAGGAACCAGTCAGCATGGTATGAGAAGCAATGCTATAGCAAGACTTCGGTCAAAGACAGTTGAAACCACAAATCCTAGCCTGCTACAGAGTAAAAGCACTTTAAAAAAATTTACTCAAATATTTATATACAGTGTTACAGGCATCTGTCTGAGTGCTTGATAAACATGAACACATTCGATCCTCACAAGAAGCCTATGAGGGAGGTAACATTGTTATCTTTGTTTTACAGGAAACTGAAGCACAGAAATGTTAGCCCAAGGTCACCAAGCTAGTAAAAGCAGAGATGCAAACCCAGCAGACATGCCAGTGTCCATTTTTCCTTAGTCATTACTTTATGAAGACCAGAGGTACCTGGAGAGATAGAGTTATCAGTTTTACCACAATTGCAGAATTGTTTGGAAGCAAAGGTACTATGTGAATATGAGCCTTGGCTAGGGCCGGCTTCACGGGCACACTACTGGCACAGAAGTGAGGGCTCCCGCACTTAGAAGGGCTCTGTGCTTGGTTGAGCGCTGTGCTGTCACCATTATGAAATTCTTAATAATTCTTAAACAAGGATCTCTGCCTTTTCATTTTGCGCTAGTTCCTGCAAAGTATGTAGCTTATTCTGTCTTTGGCAATTGTACCATCACAATACTGGGGGTGGGGCCCTTAGTGTCCTCCTTTGGTAGGACAGAAAAACCTGCCAGAAATTCTCTTAGGCTCCTGGTGTGACCCCCACGTCCTGGTGTAATTTGAAAACTTTTTTATTTGCTATTAGAAGGCTGGTAATCTTACCGAATCCTAAAAAGTCATGAACAAATCACCTAGTCATAAAGAAAGAAGTCAAACTGTGTCATAAGGGGAAAATGTTAAGTCTCAAATGTAATGGTCAAACTGAGGACTCTCATGTGGGCAGTGTCAGTTGGCATGGTGTTCCCACCACATGTCCCGGGGCAGGGAATTTGCTCAAGGAACAGCTTTGTCCCACCACAAGCTTTCCCTTTGAAGGGAGCAACGCAGGTCTCTAAAACTGCTGAAAAATGCGTCCATCTTGAGCGATGAAGCACGTTGCCTTAAGTAAGCTGATAATACATGTCCATATAGCTAAACTAAGAAGGATGAAAATAACTAAATACTTAATAAATCCTCATCTGTTAAAATTTGTTTAATTGACATGTTAAATTTAGCTTACTTTACACATACGAACATTAAAGAACCATCCTGTAAATTGATACGAATAGATCAATTCCATAAGTGGATGAACATCATAATTGCTGCCAGGACCTATTAGAAGTGCTAGGTCACATGGTTACTATTTTCTAAACTGATCATCAACAACAAAAAATAATGGAACAATAATGCAAAATAAAATTTTTTAAAAAGAAATAAAAATCACAACTAATCTCACTTCCTTAACATGGCAACTATTGGCATTTTACCTATGCCCTTCATATTCTGATACTGTCTTTTTAAATAAACTGTTTAGACATGAAAGTTAGATGCTTTAAAATGGAAGTGATTGCTATTGAGGAGTAGCTTTCTCCAACCAGTCATGGAAGTTCTCAGGATGCCACAAGACTAAGGACTACTGAGGGAACAGACCATTGCATCCTTGATTCTCTGTAGGCAAGGGGACCACAGCACCCACAGCAGCATAATGGCTGAGGTTGTCAGGGTCTAATAGGAGGCAGCGTTCTTTGCCTCCAAAGACTAATGGTCCCAGAACAAGATCGTAACTTTCCCCTCTCTTCCTTCATTCCAGTAGAAGGGAGGCAATGAAAACAAACAAAAATCGGAGAGTGGTTCGTTTTCAGGACATCTGGAAAATGAAATATGGAAATTCCACTATTGAACTTTGAAAATCTATTGCTTCCAGGAAACTCGACCATCCCAAGCTGGTGAAATTCTATGGTGTGTGTTCAAAGAGATACCCTATCTACATAGTGACTGAATATATAACCCATGGTTGCTTGCTGAATTACCTGAAGAGTCATGGAAAAAGACTGGAACCCTCCCAGCTCCTAGAAATGTGCTGTGATGTTTGTGAGGGCATGGCCTTCTTAGAAAGCCACCAGTTCATACATCGGGACTTGGTAAGCAAAGCCATTGGTAGCTCAAAGAAAGGAAAGAAAGCTATCTTCAGTTCCCACCTTCAACGATGGGGCCATTGGGTGGGACGGCAAGGAAGGCATTGTCACTTATACTTGGCTCACTTGTCACTTGCTTAAGCACATGACACTTTTGTAATAAAAATCACACTCTCAACATAAAACAGTTGAAGTATAGAAAACAGAAAGAGTAAAAGCAGCCATCAGTATCTATATAGTTAGGTTGTGGTATGAAGGGAAAGAGATGGAAAGGAAAGACTTTGGTCAGTTTTGTGTTTCTCAGAACCATTAAATCCAAGTTGACCTTTACTCCAGGAAGGGCTTAGTGCTAAAGCAGTCATTTAATACAATAAGTGAAAATATGAAAACAAACAAAAACCAGAATGAAATGAAATTTGTGTGTGTCTTTGGGTCAGGGTAGGAGTGGAGAGCATTCTGCTGGGTATGCACTGATATTGATCGATCTTTAGAGATTTTCTTGTGCTGAGTAGCCAACATGCCACGCATGCTAAGCCAGTGCATTCTGTCAGTCTCGGTGCAGCATCTAAGCCTTCAAAGTGTCTGTTCATACATGGTGTCCTGGTGGTGGAGAGGGAACCCCTAGAAATGATTTCTCCCTTCTCACTGATGAGCTCAGGTTCTGGGTTTAATGTGTGAGAACTTTCATGTTGTTTGACAAGGATGGATGCTTGGGGAAAATACTTATGGGAGCACATTTTCATTTTGAAAAATTGAAAATCACAAAGGAAAAAATACAACTTCTATACTTAAAATACAGCATTTGGGGTTGTGATAGGCAATCTTAGATTGTGCTGAGTACTCTGCCCAAGAGAAGGAAAATGTCTGATTTTGATGCCAAGGCATTCTTGGTCATTTTTACTACTCACTAATTTTGTTTTCCCTCCAAAGGCTGCTCGGAACTGCTTGGTGGACAGTGATCTGTCTGTGAAGGTATCTGACTTTGGAATGACGAGGTAAGCCAATTCCAAGGGGGCAACCAATGAAAGAGGGATTTATATTCACATCTAAATGGAGGTGCAGAACGTGCTCTGAATGGGGGGCTTAGAAACCTTGATCCCCTCCCCTACACTACCTCCAACGACCTGTGAAATATGTTTCACCTCATTTCTTTGCCTGTAAGATGGCTTTGTTCTTCAGAAATTATCCCAAGTCCCTTTTAGTTCTTTTGACACCTTGATAAATATTTTGCTGACCTTACAAATAAATTCCATGAAAGATCCTAAATATTCAAATATAATGTTACAGCCAGAAAAAAAAACCCAAACAGAAAAGGCTAGAGGAGCCTTGACTGAGTGTGTATGTCTGTGACTATATATATCGTACTGTTATATACAATATAATAGCATTGAGTGTGTGTGTGTGTGTGTGTGTGTGTGTATCCTTTAGTCCTTTCTGGGTTTTTTTCTTCTTAACATTATATGTTCAAACGGCCAGAGCATTAACACTAGGAAACTTTTCGTTGTTTTGTTATTAAGTTTTATGTGTCATCAGGTAAGACATGAAAGAAAACTCAGATTCTCTTGGTGAGCATTCTATAAACACTTCAGGATTTGAGAAATTATTTTGATTCTGATAGCAGTTTAGAAGAGTCGTCCATTTACTTAACTCTGAATCCTCATACTATTTAAGCCTCAGAGCCGATTTTCATGGTTTTACATAGGAAATGAAGACATAACACGGTGGCCTCTCCACTCGGAGTGCCTACTAAAATGCCTAGGCCCTGTGGGAGATACTGGAATAAATGGGATAGTCCCTGCCCTCAGTGCCCACAGTTTAGTCTAGAGGGCAAGTCGACACCCCAGCCATGGAGACAAAATACAGCTATAAAGTTGTGCCAACTCAATGTAAACTCATGGAACGCTGAGGAGGGATAATGCAGTTTCACAAAGATTTGAAGACCTGACCAAAGCCAGCTCTATATTTAGCAAACATAGTCCTAAAACACCACAGGAAGACCTGCTTTTTTAAGCCTTCTCTAAAATTCACTATTAGAAGCTGCTCCTCTTCTGGGACCCTTCAGCATTGACAGGGAGCCTCTTTACCCGTGTGCTAACTGCCATCACCCCAAACACCATCCACCGGCTCTCCTACACTGACACTCCAAATGTGTGGCTCTCCTGAGCACAAGAGGAAAAGCTGCTCACAGCTCCTTAGGGCAGGGAGAAGCTCCCAGGACAAGGGAAGTGATCCCACCTTGTTCTCAAGCAGGAATATTGGCTATTCTGCCAGCATTCAGGGAATACAGTCTCCAGCAGCTTAGGAAAAGGGGGCCACAGGTCTTGCCCTGAATAGGGATCCTGGAGGCCAGGCACCAAGCCCCAATGATCATGAAGCTCTGTGGTCACATCAGTTAGATGCCTGTAATCTCACCTGGTCCTGATGATCTGAAGGAAGGTTTATGCCATGGGCAGACCCCAGTGGGGGGTGTCAGGGTAGTCTGTGAGTGTCTGGTGGTGTCTGAGGAGATGCAGGGGCCTGGGAGGGAGGTATGGAAGGTGACGTATGTAATCCCATGAAAGCATTATTTATTATTACTATTACTAATATTTCAAAGAATGATTTGCCATACCAGCTTTTTCAGCTATTTTAAACTACAGTCAATATTTCTAACATATTTTGGTATCTAAAGTTTTCTTATAAATTATATCCAAAACTTTGGTTTCCATAATTTTCATTTTTCTCTTCTCTTAATAGTCATTATTTATTTGGTTTTCTGTGGGCAAATATATAGGCTTTTCCTCTGTTAATTATATAAGTAGTATGCTTAGTATAAGAAATACAGCAATGGTGTATAAAGTAAAAGGTAGAATCTACCCCCTTCCTTCACCTTTTCAGCACTAGGAGTAACTATGGCTGACACACTTGGTGGCCGTCCTTCCATACCTGATTCCTAAACATGCCCAATCACAGACACAGATATGCACATTTACTGTGTGTTCTCACAAAAGTGGAATCATTACATATACATGCTTTTGCATACAACTGTAAACTATAGGCATCTTTCTATTTTAGTAAATGTAGAGCTGGCTCATCTTTTTCATGGCTGCATACAATTCTGTTAATGCACCATATTATATTTAATCACCCTTCAGCATGTGCACATTGAGGTTGCTTCCATCTTTATCATTATTATAAACAAAAGTGTACTGCATACCTCTGAACATATATTTTTATGGTCTTGATATCTTTGTAGGATATTGTCATCTATCATTGTTTATAACAGCAGAAGATTAGAAGTAATTGACACAGTTAAACAAACTATGTCAATCCATAGGCGGGAATACTATTCAGCCATTAAACATGACGCTGCAGAAGAAAATGTGACCCTGGGGAAAGTGTTCTCGATATGCTATTAAAGGAAAAATAAAAGCTAACCTCAGCACAATAGAAACTCAATTTTGTTCAAATTATAGACAGAAAAAAAGATTGGAAAGCACAAGCAAAAAAGTACCCTGAGTGGTAGAACTACAGGTTATCTTTGGGGTGGGATTCTAACTGATTTTATTTTTATATTTTTGTGTTTTTCTCAATTTACCACATTTTGCATTCAGATTTTGGTATTTTCAAAGTTAGATATCATTTTTTAAATGCTGAAAAGTCGTAAGCAGACTCTAGCTAAGCTCACACATTGAAAGGGAGCAAAAGCTGCAGGAAACCGAGGCCCTGGGCTGAGACCGGATGGCCGCAGGTCCCGCATCAGCCTGTGCCGCCGCGGAGCCAGCCTGGCAGCCAGCAGAGGTCCTCCCACTTTACACAGCCAAGTGGACTAAGGGCTGTGTTGCTGTTTTCCCCTGCAGGTATGTCCTTGATGACCAGTATGTCAGTTCAGTTGGAACAAAGTTTCCGGTCAAGTGGTCAGCCCCAGAGGTGTTTCACTACTTCAAATACAGCAGCAAGTCAGACGTATGGGCGTTCGGTAAGAATGTGGCCACACAAGACCCAGCCCCATTTCGTCAGCTGGCTTCCACAACAGGAAACCACAAAAGCAGCAACATCCATTTTTAGCAAAAGCTCTGAGCACTTACAAAATGACCCGTAAGGCCACAGACAAGCAAGGAGTTGAAGATGATGATGGTGACCTTGCATCAGTGTTAGGGTGTCTGCCACTTTCCGTCCAATTTGCCTCCTGCTAGCACCTTCTCATAAAATCAGAAGGGATCAAAGCTTTCCCACTGTGAAGATTTCAAACAGTGTTTTAAAAGTAGTGACAGAAAATTAAAACTGAGTTTGCACAAAGTACAAAATGTGGAAGGGCTTAAAGTGAAGTCATTGATTCTCTGCATGGAAGTGGCGTGATAACCATTCCCTTCTAAAGCGACCAGTTTGTGGGGAACGCCTGGTGGAGACACCAAACATGACTCAGCACTTTCTGTGGCTCATTCCAGTTTTAACTAGTGTCCTCATTAAAAGCCATCATTTAGATCGGGGGTCAGCAAATCTGGTGGCCTGTTTCTGCAAACTTCGTTTTATTAAAGCGCAGCTGTGCCCTTTACACGTACTGTTGGTGTATTATCTTTGGATGACTTTATGCTGCACAGCAGTCGCCACAGAGACTGCATGACCCTCAAAGCCTAGAATAGTTACTATTTATAGAAAGGAGTGTGCCCTTTATAGAAGGAGTGTGCTGACCCCTGTTTTATCAAAGATCTACACTGAAATTTAGTAAAGGCAATTAGAAAACAAGAGATAATTCTTAAATTGTGATTTTGTAGATTTTCTGCTATTTTTCTACATCAGGAGAAATGTCAAGCTTGTTTACAATCACTGTCAGATGGGTCTGGGATAAATAACCCAAATTATCATAAAGTTATGGAATATATTAGATACAACTGAGAACTATCTCATGCCTGTCTTAGTCCATAAGCACAACCTGACTTTCTCCATGACGTCCATGACTGCTGGCAAAAAGGAAAATTTAGCCATTTATTTCTCTATGTCACAATTTAAAAATATATATATATTCTTCCTATAAAAGTGGTATTGTTCACTGGAAAAAACAATCCGATGAATGTAGAAAAAGGAAAAACCACAGAGAGCATTTTGGTGAATACTTGGTGTCATTTTGTGCTGATGAACTTGTCAAAATTAGTTTCAGTCTCTTTGAATCAATTGCTATGCCTTATGAAAGATATTTTTAAAAATCAGTATTTGTACTCAATAGTTACAGCTGGTTTTACCTCACCTTATGTCCCAGAAGTTGGCTCCAGATATTTTCTGGCTGTTCCCAAAAACTAAATTCATTCTTAAATAATTTGTTCCCAGTGAGGATATTCAAAATGAACCGGGACCTCTGACAGTAATTCTCAAAGAGGAATCCCACAGATACTTTAAGCGGTAATAAGGGAGAATTGTGAAGGGGGGCAACACATTTTTGGATGGTTGATTTAGAGTATTTGTTTTAAAAAAAAACCCACAGCCACAACAACTCGTAATATCACCTTAGTGTAAATATTTTACGTAAAATCTGCAGCACTAAAAGTCAAAGAAGTTTTGAAGTGAGTGCTTCAGTTATGGTTCTAGAACAATTGTCTCCCTTCTTACAAGGTTTTGAAGCTGGCTGACGGCTGGAATTCTCTGACTTGGCCAGTCCGACACAACAGCGGCCACCATTTAGAGAGCACTTCAAATGTCCCGGGGCCCTTTTAAGTCCTCTGTGCATTTTAGCCTACTGAATCCTCACGGCAACCCTGTGATGGGCAAATATCCGCAGATCATAGAGAACCCGAGCTGAGGAAGGCTAGAACCCTGTCCAGCCTATAAGCGGCAAACCTGGGCCTCAAAGGCCACATCTGACGGGCCTCCAATACCACCCCCATGACCACCATGACCATAACCTTTTCTTAGTCTGACACGCCCTGGACAGGCTTTGGCAGAGTGTAAACTTCCAGGAAAAATGAGCAGGAAAATGCTGTGCACTCACTTTCCCAAGAGAAAGCCAGTGGTTTTAATCAGATGCTCAAAAGCACACCTGACTCACAAAGCTTAGTCTAGACCACCAGGGCAATATGAAAAGGAGGGACATTGTCAATGATACTATCGTAAACTTCCACTAAAAAGTCATTGATTGTGCAGTGCAATTGTTGCCAAGGTAGAGAGAAAGGAAGGGCCAGGATTTCCATCAATCCCTGCTAAGGGCTGGATCGGGGGCAGGGGTTGTCACTAGGGGTTGAACAAGGCCCCAGCCGCCTCCTCTCTGAGGCAGCTGCAGCCCCTTTACTAGCAAGAGTGGGCATCTGGGTCTCAGAATGTGAAGAAGGGACCCTAGGCTCCAGAAGGGACGGTCCGGGCCCGCTCCCCACACCCTGTCCTCTCTGCCAGGACTCGTTCCCCAGAGATCCCGGCTCCGACCCAGAGCCTCCCGGACCTGGCGTGTGAAGCTCGTACCTTCTGACCTTGGCTCTCTTGCCTTTTTGTCTGCCGGCTGCCCCTGGGCGCGGTGCAGGGATCCTGATGTGGGAGGTATTCAGCCTGGGCAAGCAGCCCTACGACCTGTATGACAACTCGCAGGTGGTGGTGAAGGTCTCCCAGGGCCACCGGCTCTACCGGCCCCAACTGGCATCGGACACCATCTACCAGATCATGTACAGCTGCTGGCACGAGGCAAGTGGTCCGCCTGGGGGAGCCGGCAGGGGTGCCGGTCGCATCCGGGATGGGCGCTGCATCTCTGTCGTCTCTGTCGGGAGAAGCACTTTTGAGGGGAGGCACATGTGGCAGGGCGGGTGGAAAGGGCCCTGGGACCCTGCCCTCTGGTGTCTGTAATCTGAAACCAGCACCAGCCGTGCCAGCAATTACCCAACTTAGGCCAGCACCAGTCTAAGGAATTTATCAGCATTAACGTGTATTCATCAGGAGACACACTATGAGGTAGGCACGATTATTATAGCTAAACTAACAGAAGAGGCAATAGAGACCCAGAGAGGTTAAGCAACTTGCCCAAGCTCACACAGCTAGTAAGAGGCAGGCTGGCTAGTTCCGGAGTCCCTGTCCTCAACCACAACACTATAGGGTCCCTCCTCGAGTAGAAAACGTGGACCAGACAACAAATAACACGTGGAGAGAACACAGTGGACACCACTCCGTCCTCCCTTCCCATGCCTCCCACAGGGTATCTCTGGGGTAGATGTGGAGCTGGAAATGCAGGGGATTAATTTGTGAAGCATCTACTCTGTTCACAGAACTAAGGGGAATGTTAAGGAACTGTGAGGCTCCAATTCTGCCCTCCCGGAACTCAGTCTACACACACACACACTGCAGGACTGAAAACACCCAGCAGTTTATAATGTGTGCAAAAGAGAAACATAGACAAGTACAGGAGGAGCTCAGAGGAGAGGGAGACCAGCTTCCTCAGTGCATCATGATCTGAGCCAGGACAGGCAATCTCTGCAGAGCATCCTTCAGTTTCTGGGTGGAGACAGGGTTAAAGGGTGTCCAGGTGAGACTGACCAGCACAAGCACAGGTGTGGAGGCAAGAATGAGCATGGTGTGCTTGGCTGTAGCAGTGGTTGGAAGGGCTGAAAATTCATTTGGAAGAGTAGGTCTGGTCCAGATTCTTGTCGCCTTAATGACAAGGAGAGGAGGGCAAGTTCGGCTTTACATAGGCAGTATGGTGCCATTGAAGGCTTTTGAGAATGATGTGATAACAGGGGACTTTTAAGAACATTAATCTAAGAGCCCCAAACCCATAGCCATTGTACAGTGCTGCCTTATTGGCAAAAGGGCCAAACGCTGCATTCATTCATTCACTAGTAAAAGGCAGATTGCTGTCATGGTTAAGCGTGTGGACTCTGGAGCCAGAATGTCTGAGTTGAATGCTAGCTGTGTGACCTTGTATAAACCTCCTAACATCTCTGTGCTTCACTATAAAATAGTACTTAACAATAGGATTATTGTGTGGATTGAATGAGTTTAAAATATAATAAAGTCCTTAGAACACAGTAAGTGCTCTCAGTGGTGGTGGTGGTGGTGGTGGTGGTGGTTATATTTATAGAGCAGCTACACCCCAGGCACTATGCTTGGAGCTAGGGATAAATTACTGCACAGGTTGTAAAGAGTTCCTAATTCCTTGTGTTGGAGCCTGGAGTCCCACTTTGGAAGAGTTACTGACTGCATCACATAATAACATTTTATCTTTTAGCTTTAAATTATTCCTGGAATACTTCGTGATTCCCACGCTGTGGCTCTTGGACCACTCTCTAAGGCTACCCTACTCTTTTTACCCTCAATGCAGTGTCTAAGGTGCTGAGAGCCTCAGGTGGTGCTGGAGGGTCAGACTGGGTTAGAGACCTGGCAGTGCCCACAACCAGGAGGGTTTACTGCTGTCACCTGTCAGAGGGATAAGAGGAACAGACAAGGGCTTTTGAGTGGAAGCCCAGAACCACCGCTGCTCTCCCCACACTAGCTCCTGGGAATGTGTCAGAACCATCAGATGGACAGGGGGCCCTGAACAGGAAGGAACTGCCTTCTTCCCACACTTGGTCAGTAAACGTGCATGAATTGTGGCAGAATCCACTGAGAGGGGTTTGCGCAGATGAGTCCCCAGTTGAAGGTTCTGCATTTAGTGAGTGTTTTGTATCTAATAGTGTCCCTTCTTTTTTATATTTTATTTCACAACTTCCGGGAAAAAATTCACAATTTTCATCAGATTCCAATTTAGCTTTCCTATATTGGGCACAAAAATGAGCACGTACATATGTGTGTTTCTCTTTCTTTCTTATTAAAAAAAGAGAGAGAGAATACAAATTCATCTCTGCAGGTGTTGTCCCTCTAGCAATCTCACCAACACAGACCGTTGTTAAACTTCTGAATTCCTCCCAATCTGATAGATATGAAATGGCATTTTAGTGCAGCTCTTACATGTTCGCCTTTCGTTATGAGCGAGGTATATTATTAAGAGCATTTGGATATCTTCCTGAGAATTACATGTCATGTCTTTTCCCTTTTTATATGAGGTTTTTGTTTCCCCTCTCCCAATTTTAAAGCTCCCAATTTATAAATCCAAGAGATTAACACTATCTCTGATATGTCATAATTATTTTCTCACATTTTGTCACTTATCTTTGATTTAATTTATGATGGTTTTTTTTCCATGCAAAAGTTTTTTTTAAATGCAGTTGATGATATCATTATTTGCTTTGATTTCTCTGGAAACCAAGTCACAGTTAGATAGGCTTTTCCCACACCTAGATTATACAGGTATTCACACAGATTTTCCTCTAGCACTTTTATGTTTTCATTCTTTTATATTTAAGTCTCTGATCGAGTGTGTGTTTGTTTTGGTATATGGAATAAAGTATGGATCCAAAGATCTTGTTTTCTAAATTACTACCCAGTTGTTGAAGTGCCACTTACTAAAAGACTGTGTTATCCCCAGTGATAAGATACTATCTAACAGTGTCAAAATACCCCTTGAACTTATATGAAATTTCAGTACGTATTTGGGTTCATTTTGGGACTTTCTCTTCTGTTCTCTGGTCTCTATTCATGTGCTAGCACTGCATTTTTTTTTCTTTTTAAATTAGACTTTATTATTTTTCAGAGCCATTTTAGGTTCACAGCAGAGTTGGGAGGAAGGTACAGAGATTTTCCCTTATAACTCCTGCCCCTACACCTGCACAGCCTCCCCCATTATTAACAACCCCAACCAGAGTGGCACATTTATTACAAAAGATGAATTTGTGTTGACACATCATAATCACCCATCATACTTTACATTAGGGTTCACTCTTGGTGTTGTATAATCTATGGGTTTGGAAAAACATATAGTGGCATGTATCTAGCATTATATTATCACACAGAGCATTTTCATTAGCACGGCATTGTTTAAATTACAGAGAGTATAACGTGTTTTAATACTAGGTAGGTTGGCACCTCTCATTGCTCATCTTTCTTTACAGTTTTCTTAGCTACTTGGCATATTTAAAAATCCATGAACTAGAGAATCAGTTTGTTCAATTTGAAATAAACTTGCTTATGCTTTGGAGAAGATTGCATTTAGTTTGTATTTTAACTTGGGAAATGTATCATCTTTATTGTATTCATTTGTCCTATTCAAGGTCAAGCAATGTTTTTCTATGTGTTCAAGTCTACCCTGCCTCTGCATTTTTCAGCAGCATTTTAAAGTTTTCCTCATTTGGGGGCGGTACACAGTTGACAGTATTTTATTTGGGTGTTGTTGCTGTTGTAAATGGGGTTTTCTCTTCCATCGTATCTTCTAATTGGTTATTGTACATATATAGGAAGGCTATTGATTTTGTATGTTAATTTTATATACTGTTCTCCTAGTAAATTCCTCCATTATTTGGGTTAATTCTACCATTAATTCTCATGGTTTTTCCAGGTATGCAATCAAATAAAGATACTTTTTCGATTCTTAGGGCTCTGATTGTTTTCCCTTTATGAGAAATGTCTATAGTCTACAATGTCTATAAAATGTCCACATTTTAAAAGTTGTTAGCTTTAGGACTGAGTATACATATTTTGCATATTTTATTTTGAATCATAACCTTCATGAACTCAACCATTGGGTTTTTCTTTTATTTAGCTTCCAGAAAAGCGTCCCACATTTCAGCAACTCCTATCTTCCATTGAACCACTTCGGGAAAGAGACAAGCCTTGAAGAAGAAATTAGAAGATCTCATGGGAATGAGTACAAGGCTTGGCCAACATTTTCATTCTTTTTAACGGAAGTAGCAAAGCACAGCCATGGTAATTTAGCTAATTCTTCTTAGTGGTATTCTGTGTGCTATTTGTCTGTTATAGTATCTAGAAATGAACAAGGTAGGAAACAAAAGATTTCCTTGAAATTTAGGTCAAAGTAATAATTTTATTTATGCTGCTCTTAATATTACTCTTCCCAGCCTATAGCAGAAGCACATTTTCTGATTGCAAAATAGAGAGGGTGTGTACCAGGTGTAAAGATTGAACAGAATTGAAAAATTATTTGTTGGATATGTGTTTTCTTTATATCTTCACTATTATGGTAATTAAATATGCTAATTAACATGTATGGAAATGGTGACACTTGCCTTCATGTTTCAATGTTCTCCATCTTTAGCTTGCATGAGAATCAAATGGAGAGGTTATTAAAACTGTTTCCTTAGGAACTACCCCAGAGATCCTGGTACAGCAGGTCTGAGTGCATCCTGAGAATTTGTATTTTTAACAGGCGCCCAGATGTTCCTGTACATTCAGTCTGAACTGCCCTGGGGGACCTCATTATATGGTGGGCACCGTTCAGTGATCCACAATTCAATCCAAATGATGCAATTGTTATCTGCTATCCCGATTAGAAGCATGACTTTATGTCATCATGTACACAAATATAAAACTAAAGTTAAATAACATTCAATAATATATTAACTATGTGACACAGAGAAAATTTTTAAAGATGCTAAGGTATAACCCAATGCCTTTTTCCTTATGCTTAACCATTATCAATCGCAACTCAAATATAACCATGATCTTGTATTAGATTGCTGCTTTCTACAGTAGTTCCCCTCTATCCACAGGGGTTACATCCCAAGACCCCAGTGGATGCCTGAAACCGAGGATAATACCAAACCCTATATATACTATGTCTCTTCCAACACACACATACCTATGATAGTTTAATTTATAAATTAGGCACAGTAAAAGATTAACAACAATAACTAATAATAAAATAGAACAATTATAACAATATACTATAATAAAAGTTATGTGAATGTGGTCTCTCTCAAAATATCTTACTGTACACATTTAATGCTTTTTCCATCTTAACTAAGCACTTATCACACACTGTGGCCGTAACTTTTGCAATCTGAGATATGACAGCAAAACTAGTATGAATTTAATTTTCCTTCTTCACAGTTTCACCAATAGAAAATTTGTTCTTACCATGGGTCTTGGCCACCTCAGCATCCGATTTTTTTTTCCTTTCCTTACGGAGTTGAGAGCTTTCACTTTTTCACCTAAAAGAAGCACTTTATGGCTTCTCTCTGGCATTTCCAAATCTCCAGAATCACTCCTCTTGTGCTTTGGGGCCAAGATTAAGTAAATAAATGTCATTTGAACACAGCACTGCGACACCGCGACAGCAGGCCTGATAACCACGGCCACTGAGAGACTAACGGACGAGACACGCTGGGCAGAGACTATTCACGTCACGAGAGCTGATGTCGCGAGATTTCATCCCGCTACTCAAAACAGCAGGCAGAGCTGATGTCGCGAGATTTCATCCCGCTACTCAAACCGGCGGGCCCTTTAAAATGTATAAATTGTTTATTTCTGGAATTTTCCATTTAATATTTTCAGATCATGGTTGACCACAGGTAACTGAAACCACAGAAAGTGAAACGGAGGCTAAGGGGAGCCTACCGTAATCATTTAAAATCCTTTCGTTTGGGGCCCTGGGGCATCTGGCTACTTTGATAACTGAACTATTTCTTTTATATCTTGATACAAAGGTACAGGAGTCCTACTTTCGCTTCTCGTGGCTATTACTAAAAGGTACTTTAGCTTTAAAACTGCCCCTGTGAATACCTGCCTTCACAACCCATAGGTTTTCATCATTTTGGAGTTCACTGTCATGTCTGTAATGTCAAGAAGGGTAAGAGAAAGTTTAGGTGAATGGCACTGCTACAGTGAAAAGTCACCCTAATTAAACCCTGCTACTATTTTCCAGATATCAGTTAACAATCTCCCGTAAGAGACATTCACACCCTTTCTCATCCCTCTCACCCTTTACCCCCTAGCTATTTGGAATGATTCCTCTTGGTATTTGTTTCCTGACATTTAAAAAATAATTCCTTATTTTCAGCAAAATTGATTTATGATAATAGTCTTCTATTTTTTTTTAACAGAGGTACACAAATCTCAACATATAATGAAATGGAACTTTTGAAATAACCACTAGGGATTTATACATTCAGCGAGCATTTATTTACCATGCACCGTATGCCAGGTTCTTTCCTCCCCAAGGGAAAAGAAGGAACAAGTAACACAACCCTTCCTCCTCGATGGACCCATAGTCAGGTGGGGGTACCCTTTGCTGCTCTGATCCTGTCCACAAGAGGTCTGCACCACAAACTGTTAACCACCCCCTGAAAGATTTCTCAAGCCCAAACTAGGTCTTTCTGGTCCCCCTTCCCAAAAGGTTGTTTTCTTTTCTTCTCCTTACTTTTATATATTTGATCTTCTAAAAATGAAACCGAGCAGGACCCAATGGCACCTTCCCAGAAAAAGACCCTCCCCTCTTGTTTGTAGAAAATCTTTAGCCTCCTAGGCCTTCCCTGAGTTCCAAAGAGCAAATTTAATCAAAGAAATGAGAAAATGCAGAAACAAAGAAAAACAGTCAAGCAAGACAAAATAGTAAGTTTAGTCATAAAACAAAGAGAAAGACCTTGAGTTCTTGCTCAAGGGCTACAGCTAATATCCCGAGCCATATCCTTGCTTTGTTTTGCAGATACTAAAACTCCCACCAGGTGGAAGAAGCTAACTGCATGCTGACTACCAGCATATAGACACGAGACGAGTTAGAACCAGAAGGTTGATGATGTTCACTCTGGAAATACTACCCTGTTACCTCACCACCATCCAATCAGAAAAATGTCCATGAGCTAATCATTCACCCTACAACCCTAGCCCCTAATGTTGCCTTTAAAAGCCCTTCCCTAAGAGCCACCCAGAAGTTCAGGTCTCCTTACCTGGCTTCATGTTGGGCGCCTTGTAAGAATCGCTGTACCTTCCTTCACCATAACCCAGTGTCAGTAGATTGGCTTTGCCGCGTGTCGGGAAAGGAGACACGAGTTTGGTTCAGTAACAAAAATAATCCTCTTTATAGCTAAAGTAATACATGCTTGCCATAAAAATTCAAACACAGAATTGTCTACTATGAAAAGAAGCCGAAGCCTTGCTTAGAAACCTGGCTCCAAAAGTCTAGCCAAGCAAGATTTTTAAAGAACCAGTAGAAGTTTATCAGAAAATAAGTCCAGTGATGCCAGGAGGAATCAAGTAAAGGAACAATATTCATACTATTTAAAACATGCATGATAATTTTGAATTAACTGTGTTTAGTGGTGGTATCTTGTATTTATTGTGGTTGTTTTGAACCAGAGGTCTGCCTACACTCTTTCAGAAGTGAAGAAAAAGGCTGTCCACCCCTGACGTGGCTGACGAATCCGCCATTACCATTATCTCTGTAGAATTCATTCATTTAGCACAAAGTTACTCTAACATTATGCTGATCACCACATAGACTGAACTGATGGGTAGAGTTTAGATATTTTAACCTATTTAATCCATTTTAAATCAGTATTCATGTCTGTAATGGATGCTGTGCTCAGACCTGGGCTGGGGGCTCTGAGATATATAAAAGCACTACCAGGTTTGGTTCCTAACCTGATAGTGTAGACTCTTAACACAACTCTTTTTAGACTGATTTTGTAACTGCTTTATATTTATTATAATATAATTAATAATTATATATAATAATATATAATATAATTTATATATAATAAATATAAAGCAATTGAAGACATTGGAATACATTCCGATTTGGGAGGTCAACCGTCCCAGGCAGTCAGACTGCAACTTTGTTCCTGAAAGTGAAAAGCAGACAGAATCCAAGGAAGCCCCAGCATGTAAGTACACATGAGGCTACAGGAGTGTGTAAATCTAATAAGTGTTTATTGAGTGTCTGCTTTGTGCTCAGCACTGTTCAGACATTGTGGGCAAATGCAAAAGATTGAAGAGATCGGGTGCCCACTTCAGAGGGTGGCATTCAATTGGGATTTCCAAGCACTCCACAGTTAGAGAACAACCGAAGCGAGTTTCTATCAGGTGGGCTCTGGAGGGGGTTCACAGAGGCCCCTGGGGTGAGTGTTATGTTGTCAGGAAGATGGTGATCAAGCAGCTTGGAAGGCGATGTCCTCTAATGGCTCCCTGGATTCTTCTCTCTTTTGTCGCCCTGTCACCCTGAAGAAGGCATGTTCCAGACCAATCATCACTGTGGGCAAATCACTATAGTACTTAGATTAAGTTAACGTGAAGAGAGCATGTCATCCTTTACACGTGAATTAAATCAAAGTGAACAGTGTGTTCTCCATCCCTACAGTTCCAACAGTTCACAGGCACTGTCCTTCAAAGTGACCCATCCAGATTCCACACAAGACCCAACACTTGTTCCCACCATGTCTCCTTTTTTGTTCCAGCAACACAACAGACATTTCCATTTCCATTTCTATTAGCCCTGAACAGCCTGTGAGGCCAAAAGACACATTTTCTCTATTTTTAAACAGAAACATTTCTTTCAGGAAACAGAAGAGAAGTCAAATCCTGAGGCAGAAACAAATACTAAAAGCAATGCAAGTGAAGATGCCCTCTCCTCAGGTGTATCTTCTCTGGACGACTTTTCCCGAACAGAGCCACAGTTTTGACATTTAATGACATCCTTATAATCTTATATTTTCTGTACCGTGAAATTAACATTTACATACAATAAAATCACCTCAAGAGGAAATAAAATAGATTTTTCTAAAATGAAGTCTGAACATCGTCACCATTTTGGAATCCTGAATTATTTTCTCCTTTACTCAAGTCCACGGAATCATAAGGATTTTCTTCAGTGCTTGCTTGTTTTTTCCTGTTAAATAAAGTGAAGTCAACTTAATATCATGATCTTAGAATGACATGGCCTCTCTTGGACTCCACTGCGCTCAGGCATTTTCACATCTCAGCATCCAATCACTGATGGTCTCATTTGCATCAGACCCTCTTAATGGACTATAAGCACCCAGAGTGCATTGCATTCACTTCTTTAGCCCCATGATCTGTTGGCATGATGCCTGGCTGAGCATAGCAGACTGGTTACTGTATAAGCTCTAGAGTTACAGAGAGGGGGCCTCTGGACCTCAGTCTGCCTATTTGGAAAATGATAGCCATTATGTGACGTCAGTGAAATAATGCTGGCAGAGTATTGACACTACCTGGCGTATAATCCTTGATAAATATTAACCATTATTATTATTTTCAGGAACTTGG